ACATGTTACTGATGGTGTTCAGTGTTTGTTCATGGCTGTTCTGGCCTACTGCAGGTGTCACAGTCATTCTAGGCTGACCCCAACTCACTTAACAAACCAGAAGTATTCATATCTCCTCAGCCTCCCTCCATAGCCCATGTAGACAAGTAAGTTGCACCAAGGAAAAAGGTCTGGTGAGGTTACCTTCCTTCAGTGGAAGCACCGTCTCCTTCACTTGCCAGCAAAGCCCCTCTATAGGTGTAAGCAAGGTGCAAAAATTGCCTGCTGCCTCTCTGCATGCCTGTAGCCTCCTTTGGACCTGTCATCCTCCTCCTCCTTTGGTTTTGCCATGCAAGAAAGGAGCCAACAGTGAATGAACGACTGCCATTTTGCTGTCGTCCAAAAAGCCATTTGTAGAGCATGTAGAGGAGCAGAAGACCTAAGGAAAGTCAAACTTGCAGACACGCTAAGAACTGTACTCTTGACTATATGTCATGTAACCACAAGGTATTTTTTTATATATATATATATATATATATATTTCTTTTTTGATACTACATTCTGTAAAATATCTGATGTCATGTAAGGATGGTCCAGAGTAATCTTCCCCCTGAGAACAAAATAAAACTTTGATATGTACTGAGTTAGTGCCCTGAGGCTTTTATTCCAAGTGGGACACAGCCAAGGCTGGGTGCAAGTCTTTACCACAGAGACGCCTGTGCTCCCACGGGTATTCTCACACTGTCCCTTACCCCAACAGCTGCTCAGCCATGGGCAGAGACAGACCCCGACCGGACGTGAATACAAATTGCAAAAAACTGCAACAGATGAGATTGCCCTTCAATTATTTATAGCCTTAGCACGTCACTGAAGACAGGGGCAGAGGCAGGAGAAGAGTGCTGCAACCTGTATGCTGAGAACAGAAATTAAATCTGGATTCAATTGACATGCTGAAAAAATAATGGGTAAGTTTTGCTTTAGAAGAGGTGAAAAATCAGCCTGTCCTTGCTCTCTGTTGGACTGAGAGAGCACATCTTCACAGCAGAGACTCTGCAGCAAGCACGGATGGGGGCTGAGGCAGGGACACAACTCTGCCAGGCAGCTCTTCTCCACATCACAGGCTGTGAAAACCCAGCCTTTGAAGAGAGCTTAAAATCACGGGCACTATTTTCTACCATGTGCCTGGATCCAGGTCTGGGAGCTGGGTTATTGATCCTTATTTTCCTACAGCACAGAACTGAAATAACAGCGCTGGGCTCCCCTGGGTTGGCAGTGGGGAGGGGGCTGGCAGGTCTGGCTCAGTCGCTCATTGGTCTGCTGAAGTGTCCAGAGACATCAGAGGGATGAAAGAGAGGAGAAAGAATAACCAAAATCAAGGCATGGTCCCCTGAGCATTAAACGATCAGCTGTAGGATCTGAGCCTAGACAGCTCCAAGGCAAGTGAAGAAATACCGCCGCTCTATAATAGATCCGTCATAAATACAGACTCTCCTCCACCTCCCATCGATAGCTCTGCCAGGAAATCCCTGACGCCACGCAGCCCTCAGCCCTGCTCCCCAGGCTGCCGTGCTGCCAAGTGCCGAGCCCGCGTGCCCCGCGGCCGCTGCGGCTGGCTGCAGCGAGGGCTGGGAAAGGCAGCAGAGGAGAAGAGCAAGAGCAACGACAACAGGCTTTGCATTTGCTGGCACCTCGTGACCTGCTGGAGTGGTGAGAGCTTCTCTCCAGGGAGGCAGGCGTGGAGACAGCAATTTATCAGTCTGGCTGCAGTGAAAGACCAGTAAAACATTCCTGGGTGAGGTTTGCCCATTCCCTGGATGCGTGTTAGTGCCACACGTGAGCTGAGTCGGCTGTGGTGGAGCCTAACCCTGGACGGACCATAGGGGACAGCGGGGACCCACTCTGGACCCATGGGGAGACACAGCATCCTTTATCCCTCAGCTACCTTCCCCAGGATGGGTTTGCTGTCCCCATGCCAGCTGGGGGCTGGCCACTGCTCACCATCCCTGGAGTCCGAGCTGAGCCATGAGGGCTTGCTCTGCACTCCAAAGTTACCAAAAGCCATGAAAAGTAGCACTTTGAGGGTCGTTTGCTAAGAAACAAGCAGGACATGGGCACAACTGCACATCGGAGCAGGGTATCCTGGAAAGACCACAGGAATGAGGCTGTGTCTGAGAATCCCACGTATGCACTCATGTCTCTAAGTAATGGGGAGGGATGAAGGGGCTGCGTGGTGGAGGGGGCAGAGGACCCCCAGACATGCACGCAAGCAGGCAGCATCAGGAAGGGGACCAGGGCAAAAGCAGCATATGCACACAAGGCCGAGGGTGGGGGAGTGTGGGGTGTGTGCAGAGGGGAGCAAGGGATGGCTCTGCCCTTGTAAAACAGCAGAGATCCAAGCATGAATATGAGTATCTCCACAGGGATGTGGTCTCCACCAGACTCGCCTTCCCAGACGGAGGCAACGGCGTTCCCCCTCAGCAGCTGGGTGGTTGGGGAGGCTGCAGCCAGCCAGACACAGTGACTCAGGCTGGGAAAACCTCAGCATGGAAAGAAGAGGGCTAGGGGCAAAGGCAGCACGAATCTTGGCCATGTCTCTGCCTCATGACATAACACCAGCGGGGAGAGGGCAGGCTGCTCCCAGCACATGGGAGGGGAGGGAGTTGGTCCTGGCTGGAGAATCAGCCTCCTCCTCCCCAGAAGAACGACTCGGCCCCGGCCAGCCGAGCAAGCAGAAACCTCCTCCAGAAAGAGAGGCCCATTCAGGTACAAGACCCTTTGGGTCCCAAGCACTCCCTCATTCACTCTTCTCCTGCCGAACACACTCAGGACATCACTGATAATCGCTTCAAGGGGACAGATCCTGCTGCTTCTCTTCCTGGGGAAGTCTCTGCTGGTGGCACCATGCTAGTCGCCCCCGGGCAGAGCTGGGGGCCAGCAGGTGTTTGAGGCCCCATGCTTTGCATCACGTGTGCATCTCCAATGCTTCGAGACTGGAAAATCACAGCAAGAGGTTGGTTCATCCACACACCAGGACCATATCCATGTAGGATGCGGTTTGGGGTGACCACGCTACAGGGAAACAGCTAGGGTCAGGGATGAGGGGGGAGGACATTCATCATCTGGAGAAGGCTCGTGCTTCCCAGTGCTGGCAGGTCACTGATCCCAGTGCTTCCCAGTGCAGTGCCAGAGACCTCGCAGCTCCATCTGCTGGCTCCGTAGCCAAGGCTGCAGCGGCTGCGGAGCAGGGAAGGCACTGGGGAAAGGAGGCGGTGGAATGAGCAGGACAGAGCTTAAGAGACAAAGCACACATGGCCCCTGGATCACATGGGGTTTTCTTGTTATTTTGATGTTTTTAACCAACAGCCTGCAGGTCGCATGTATAAAAATACAGGAGAATCTTACACCAGCAAAAAAAGCAAACGCACAGTGAGCAGGGTAGCTGAGGAGCCAGGGCTTGATGCTGTGCAAGCCACCTCGGTGACGCTGAGTTTGGTTAACGACTTTCCTTCAGCCCTGGACTTGCCTGCCCCAGGACCCCTGAGCAGATGGATTGGGGGAGGCAGGGTTGTATTTGAGGCTTATGATGTGCAGGCTATTTCAAAAGCTTTTGCAGGCATTTACACACCAGTTTCACCTCAGTTTTCTGTGCCAGTTGCGCCCACAGAACAAGCTGTCCCCTTGGGTAAGTCCTGCAGGAGTCCAGCAGCTCCCCTGCAGGAAAGGTAAGAAGATAAGGGGTGTCAGGCTGCAGGGGAACAACAGTTTTCCTTCCAATTTCGTGATGCCTTCCAGGTTCCCTGAGCCCTGCAGGGCAAAGTAGCAGCAAGCAGGAGTCAGCATCCTCCCCTTTGACCAGAACCTGTAGCCCAGTAAGTGCAATTTCCCCATGATTGACCTAATAGGGCAGAGACTTGGGACTTGCTGCCATAGCCTTCTTGCGCTTGCCAACCTTGGGCACCCTTTGCCCCCACGGCAGGGTGCCCAGACAGCTGGGAGGGGCTTGTGTTTGCCAGCGTGTTTTTCAGAGCCATAGTCAGAGAATCACAGAATGGTATCATAGAATCACAGAATGGTTTGGGTTGGAAGGGACCTTAAAGATCATCCAGTTCCAACCCCCCTGCCATGGGCAGGGACACCTTCCACTAGACCAGGTTGCTCAAAGCCTCATCCAGCCTGGCCTTGAACACTTCCAGGGATGGGGCATCCACAGCTTCTCTGGGCAACCTGTTCCAGTGCCTCATCAACCTCTCCTTGAGTATTTTTTTTCCTTATATCTAAACTAAATCTACCCTCTTCCAGCTTAAAGCTGTTATCCTTCATTCTATCACTACAGTCCCTGATATAGAGTCCCCTTATGAAAGCTCAGCACCCCGATATTTCTGGAGAATGACACAGTGTCCAGGCCCCTGGTGACATAAGGGACATCCACTGGTGCGTGGGGCCAGAGCAGACGCTGCTGTACGCAGCTCACAGGACGCAATGCCAGTGTCCACTGACACAAGCTCCCCATGACTTTGCTGTAAACCTCCAGTTCTAGGCGCCCCTCAGCTGTCCTGTGTGCCCAGTTCCAGCAAGACCAAAGGCAGGAGAGCATCAGGATGTGCCCTCCATGGAAGCTGAACCCAGCTGGTGGATAAAGGCAGCACCCAGCTTCCCACCAAGCTGCTCAGATGTACCTAGAAAAGGTTCTGGAGAAATTAAAAAGCACAAATGCATCCTTGGGCTGAGGAGAAAGGGCTTGTTTTATTCTCGCAAGCACACTCCAGCCATAGCATGGGGGAGCTGAGAGTTGTCCTCATGCAGGATATTTCCAGTAAGAAACCATCAAACCTACCAGGCTTCTCGAGGTTGTGGGACGAGGGGCCTGGCTGAGGCACCCTGATGTGTCCCTGATCCCCACGTGCCAGGAAAACCTCACCGTGCCATGAGCAAGGGCTGACCTTGGGCATCCGATTTTCCAGGTGCTCCATCAGTCCCCACCAGCCGTCACCCCTGCTCCTCTTTGCAAGTTCCAGCTCCCACTACTTCATGATGAAATAAAGCAGGACGAAGAGGAGCACTGCCAAAATGCAGAGCAAAGAGCTGCCGATGCAGCAGCAGCGTTTCCAGGGGAAGCTGCTATTGCAGGGCAGGGGGGTGTGGATTGGGGTTGCGTAGCGTCTCGTGTTCTGGCGATTCCGAGAGTAATGGATCCTCTCCACGTCTGCATCCACTGGGGGCTCCCAGGCATGTGGCACCAGGGCCAGCTTCGACTTGCTGCAGATGCCGAGCTGGCAGCCCTCGCAGCGGGTGCTGTCGTGTGGCCCTGCCACCGGCGCGTCCACCACGACTTCCAGAAGGTCAGAGGACTGGACATGCATGTGGTAGAAGTACTTGAGAATCTTTAGCACCAGGTTGTGCAGAAGCCTCTCCATGGTCTCCTGGTTGAACATGGGCTCCTCCAGCGGGGGGTTGGGGCATCGCCTGCACGCCTGGCGAAAGACTCTCATCCGCACCATGCCCTTGCCCCTGTGCCGGTGCATGTGGAACAGGATGTGCACTTTGGCTGAGGACCACTCACGAAAGCACTGGGAGCACTGAAACCTGCCAGGGCATGGAAGAGATCGGCTCATCCCAGGTTCCCTGGGCTGAGCCAGAGGGTTTCCATGCAGTCAGTAGGAACCAGGGCAGCCAGGGCTGATAGATTAACTTCACTCATGCAAGCTTTACACCAAACTGTCCCCGCTCCAACAGCATGACATCAGTACAGGTAGTTCAACACAGACATGACCTCAGGGCTGGTACCAGCATCAAAGATTTTAGGAGCCAGGCTGCCTGCTGGGACCATCTTGATCCCCTCTCCTCACCCATTCTGGCTCCACTGCCAGAAGCATGGGTCCGTGTGGAGTGAAGCATCAGACCCCAGGTTTATCTGGGGCTCCAGCCACTCACCCATGCTGGTTCATCACAGCTCAGCAGAAAGCTAGCATCAAGCCCAGGGTGAGGAAAGTAAAGAAAAAAGAAGAAAAATAGAAGGAAGGTGTGGGAGGAGGCTGTAGGGCAGGTGAGGAGACGTCTTGAGCAGTCGAAAGGTGTGTAACCCGCAGCTCTTCATCTTGCACAATCTCCATGGGGACTGGCAGCCCAAGTCTCCTTCCCTGCCACCTGGGCAGGGTGTCTGGTCGATGCCCAGGGTCCTACCCAGGGTGGAAATGGTTGTTATGGGGCCTCTCATCAGCAATGCAGAGTCACAGTCACCCTCTGCTCTGGGATCCTGCAGCTTGGTGCAGATGCAGGGACTGCTCAGGCATTGTTCTGTGCCCCAGCAGACAGCGGCTCTCTCTCTTCTCATCCTCTGGGTGCAAACCCAGCAGAGTTGCCTCTAGCGTGGTGTAACTACCCCCTACTCACTGGAGGAACACTTTGCATTTCGACATGGAGAAATTCTGGCCAAACACCAGCTGCCTTTCAGTCCCATGGAGTTGACACACTCTCCTCCAATATAATGATTTTTTTTTTCCCAGTTTGGCAATAATTCATCAAGCTAGGAACCAAATGGGAAAACCCATCCCAGCCTCACCTGCCTCCAGACTGCCCCTTCCAAGTCAAAAGCTGTTTCCTACAAGCAAACTTTGAGAAAGGGAAAGGTCTGTGTGACAGCCCATCATCCCTTGTCCCACTCCAACAGGGACCGAGTTGGCATCCCCCTACCTCCCAAACGCACGACGCTGCACAAACTCCTTCCAGCCAGGCTCAAGGACATGGACCTGCAGAGTATCGTCCTCCTGAAGCATCCATGGGTCTGCTAAGTGCATGTCCACCATCTTCACTTCAAAAATGTCCTGCCAGCTCCCCATGGTCCCACCTGGAGTTGGGGAAGAGGCAGTGACCAGGGTCAAGCTTGCAGCTTCTGAGTGCTGATACGTGTGCAACTTTCTATTCCCCAAAGTATTGCTCTTTGCATAAAGTCTTTGCGCTTGGAGAGGGGAACCTTTGCTCCCACATCAGCAGCACCGCCCCATTCTGATCCCTGTGTCAACAGGCTCTGCTGACACTGCACCAGGTCCCAAACAGGTGAAACGTCCCAAAGCAAGGACAGGGTGGGTTTCCACAAATCTCACACATGAACCCCCGACCCTGCTGAAGCTGTGATCTCGTGATGCTGCTCTGTCCATCGTCAGAGAGGTCAGAAACACAACCCTCTGCCAGGCTGCCCGTGCCCCATCATTGTCACAGCAGCTGGGGGGAAGCGGCAGAGATTGTGCCCAGCATAAGAATAACAGAAGCAAAACCCAAAACGCAGGGCTCAGCAGCCGATAAAGCCCCAGGCAGCCTTATCTCTCTCGATAGCTGCCACCAAGTACAGGCTGTTTTTAACTACTTTCAGCCAACTCAAGCAGAAAAAGGCCTGATATGAAACCACAGGGTGGAAAGTTGGGGAGTATGGCACCGCACGTAAAACCGAAAAAGGTGAGGTGTGCTCTGAGCTGAGAGCACCCAGAGAAGGTATAAACAGCGGGGTCAGGGCTGCCTGCAGCCCTCTAACCCCCAGCACAGGCCCCACAGGGCATCCCATGGAGAGCGATGCAGGTTGGGGAGCAGGTTAGACAAGATGCCAAAAGATAACTGGTCTTGAGTTAGGGGAAGATCTGCAGCTTGATAACCGTGGAAATAAAACCATCTCATTTAGCATGAAGCTTTCAGAGAAGACTGTCCTATACACAGAAAGGGCACAAAATGCCCCAAAACTTTTGGCCTTGAAGGAAATGTGCTGGGTGGCTACTGAGGATGAAGCCACTATGGAAAGTTATGGCAGCTCCTCGTGCTGAGTGCCCAGAGCAGCACTAAGGCTCCCAGAAGCAGGGACGGTTTAACACAAAGGCTGCAGGATATTAACACCTGCAGTAGGACAGACCTCTGTTTAAAAAAGGGGCAGAAAGATCTACAAATCGGTCTTAAAACACTTCACATTGGTCTCAAATGAAGTATGTCCCTGTGGCAGCTCTTCTGGCCGGACACCCCAAAACCTGTGTGCCCTAGGCAGCCATGCCAGTGGCTGGCCCTGACCTGGAGCAGGCTGGGGCAGTGGGATTTCTGAGGATGCAGGTGACGGTACCTGTGGCCTCACAAGAAGGGCACAGTGGCTGCTGACAGTAAGTGACAGTGGCTGTGAGGTCTTAAGAGGCATCAGCATACCAGGCTTATCCTCCAGATCCCAAAAGGGAGGAGGCAAGAGATGTAGATAAGTCCCAGTAACCAGGGAGCCTCTGATCTTGCTGCTGGAATGGAAAAAACAGCAAGACATTTCTATCAAGATCCCTCCAGCACCTTCACAACATGCGCTGCCCCTCCTGCAAGAGTGGAGGGAGGTGACAAGGTCCCCAGACAGAGCCCATCTTCAGCTTCAAGGTTCTTCCCTGCTTTGAGGTCCTTCCACTCTTAATTATGCCTTGATGATGCGATTTGGAGCAGGACTACAAAGAAGGAAAGGAAGTTTCCTTTCAGCAGAGGAGCCAAGCCAAGGTCTTCTGGATATTTATGGACATCTAGCAAAGACCTATCCTGTGGACAGGATCTGAGTCACACCCTGCCTAACACCTCTACCATGGGGATGTGGGGTCCCATTTGGGTTGGGACAGTGCCCTACAAGCAGAATGATGAAGGAGGGGTCATCCCACCAGCATTTCCAATGCTTGCAGGTGGAGACCAGGGAACATACTCGGCTCTGGTCTGATGCAGGGGGAGGAAGAGAGTGAGCAGCAGGTCTCCCTGGCCCTCCTTCCACTCCTGTCTCAGAGCACAGGGTTCCCATTTCTGTAGAAGACCCCTTCGTGCACCCTGCCACAGAAGGGTCTCCAGGGCTGCAGATCCCCCAGTGTGGAAAGCAAGAGCTAAGCAGGAAACTGGCAGCACTGTGACCCAGCGTGGAGTGGGGACCCACCAGCAGCAGGGTGACCAAGATGGGGCCATCCACCCTGCAGCATCTACCCATCCCCATGGAACCCTCTCTGTTAGGGGCTGAGATTTACCCTGGGGAGGTTGAATGCAGGAAAAACCTAAAGGTTTTGACATGTCCCCTTTACTTCTAGGTCAGCAGAGGAGGAGGAGCCTCCTGGGGGAACAGCCCTCTCTCCTGGCACTCTCATATTCACCCAAACAAACCCATCACTTCATCTGGGCGATCTGTGGTTTCAGCCCAGCTCTTCCTCCCCGAGGCTGCTGCCACGCGGCAGAGGGATGCTCCCCATAGGACAGAGGTTTGCTCCCCACGCTGCCCACCCCCAGGGGGCAAAAACACTGCCTCTCAGGCACACTGCTCAACAGAGGTCCGGTGGCACCCCCGGCACTGGGACAGGCCCCTGCCTTCGAAACCTGGCTGTGATGGAAACCAGCCCCTCATTACGTCATGGCAACACAACTCAAATCACGACTCAGGCTATGCAGAGCCCTTGCAGTTATCTCTGAGAATGAGCCCAGTGCTCGTCCCTCTATTAAAGCCTTTGACGAAAGGGACTTTCCCAGAACCACCCACAGACCCGAAACTGCTTTGACGTCCTGTTCCACTTCATGAACACCTCCCGGCGCTGCCCAAGCACCTTGCCGCTTACCAACACCTGCCTGGAAACAAAAGCTGCTCCTACAGGTCCCCCCACAGCCTGGCCTCAGCAGGGACCAGGGACAAGCCCTGTCCCAGCCCCAGCATGACCCCACTGTTCTGGCGAGCCCTGGCTGGGCACAGACCCTGCCAGCCCTCTCCATCCCAGCACGCTGCTTATGCCTCTTCTGTGGGATGCGGGAAGGAGGTGCAGCTCAGGTGGTAATTTCCCTGCCACTTTCACACAGCCTGAAATTATTTTTGATTTCAGCTCCCACGCCCAGGTGAGCCGCCCAGGTGAGCGGAGGAAGGTTTCCCAAAGTCCTTTCTCCTCCTCTTCATCTCTTGCTGTGTGTCAGCCTTCCTGTCCTCTACCCCTCCAACCCAGGGACAAAGTGCCCACACTGCTCATGGAGACCCTGCTTAGCCCACATGCCCCCCTATCCCTGCTGCGGCATCCAACCCTTCTTTTTGGGGTCACCCCATTCCCAGGTGGCTCCATCCTACCAGCAATCCCCAGAAAGGGAAGTTCAACCCTGGTCCCCAGGCAGGACCACAGAGCAGGACAACCCCTCCGCAGTGGGGATGCTGTGTCCATGGGCACAGCAAGGCTTGCAAGACAGATGGACCACCATCTGAGCAACAGGGCATAACCCTAAACACTTCTCTGTCTTTCACTGCTTGCTTCATACCAGGGCTTTCTTCCCACTCTGAAGGCTTTCCTCATCTTTTCCTGCACTAAACACACCCAACTCTGTTCCATCAGTTCCATTCTTCAGGGCATTTTTGCTCCTTTCTCTAGGTCATCAGAGTGAATTTCATTTCTAACCCTCCTTCCAGATGGCACCTACACCCTCCCTCAATAGAATATTGCCTTCATTTGAGCCATGCTTCCCCAGAAAACCCAGTTGCAGTGTCTGCTGTCACAAGCTATTGATAACTGCTCATGGGATATAGCTTCTTGGGTACCCATCCACCCACAGTGGCAGAATTTCCCATTTCCCTAATTTGCTTATGAGAATGTCATGTAAGGCAGCAAAAAGATAGCATCGCTTCTGCTTTCCCTGCACTACCCAGCCTGTTGCCCTAATGAAGAGAAAACAGGTTGGTTTGACACGTGTTCCTGCTAAATCTGTGTTCTCAGCCCTGGTGCTGCCCTCTCAGTGTTTACCACTTGGTGGCCTTACTAATTTGTTCCAGCGGTTTTCTGGGTACCAAGGCAGACTGACTCATCTAGAGTTTTCTGGATCCCCTTTTTTCTCCTTTCTTGAAGCAGATGGTGAATTGGTCATTCATATCCTCCTGGGATGCATTCCAAGCCAGCTCTCTGTGCCCCTGTCCCCCTCTGACCTTGCCACTGTTGACAGTGAATGGTTGTCACCCCATCACGGTGAAACGCTTGTCTAGGGACAAGCGATGGCTGTAAGTTCCCTTCCAGGCTGGATTGTCTTCATAGTCGAGCCCTTGGAGTAACGGGGTCCACCTGTCTCAGGATGGATTTGAGGCAAGGGGGATCAGGTCCTTTGGAAATAGGGGTATGTCCAAGCTGCACTGTAGAGAGGGGACATTGCCCTGTTGCCCAGGACTTCTGGGATGGGGAGGGATGCAGAGTGATGGGGAGACATTCAAGGAAGGAGGTGGATGTGAGGATGCAGGCAGGTACCACCCCACATGGGTTTGGGCTTCCTGTTGGTCTGGTGGGCCTCGTGATTGTTCCTCCAGGTGTACAGAGAGAGCTCAGCCCCGGTGCCATGAGCAGTGGGTTTGGTCTTGGGGGTGGTAGAGCGGGTAGGCCCAGGGATCCTGCCTGGCCCTCTAAGTCCCCGCATGCCAGGATCTGGCCTGCCGGCATCCTTCTCAAGCAGCACATCCCACCAAAGTGAGGAAGAGAGAGAAGGAGAAACCCTGGAGCCAACTCAAAGCAAAACTAGAGAAAGCAAAATGAGGGCAGCAGGAGGAAACGCAGATGTTCTGCAAGCCTACAGCAGGCTCAGCAACAGGCAGGGCGAGACTCTGGGTGGAAAAGGATGGAGGAGATGCTGTAGGCCTGGATCCCTCAGTATATACCACAGCTGTGCAACCTGGGCGTGGTTAGGGAACCAGGCCACCTGCCCAGCAGCCCATCCCTCCCAACAGCAACCAGGGCACCCACCAGCTCACCCCAGCCTGTCTTTTCCAGGAACAACAGCCGCTTTCCCAGCGAGTCAAGGCCATGGCAATGCTCCCACACTCCAGTGCCCGACAGACCAGCCCCACCCACAGATCACCCCATTAACCTAGCACCAAATAACCCACACACCCTGCTGCAGCACTGCCAGCCCAAACTCTCCCAAACCTAAACACGGCTCTGAGACCTCCCAGTGACCAGGACACTGCTCACTTTTAGGTGACCTTACTGCCACACAGCCTGACCATCCCTTCTCCGCCCGACGTCTGCAACGTCCCATTTTTCAGGAATGGTGCTTTGCTGCTCTATGGCACAGTTTTCCTCAAACATGCTGCTGCAATCAGTGGGAGAGGACTTCCTCTCCATCTTCGTCTGCCTTCCCAGTTTTCTCAAGACCCAGGTTCTGGGCTCAGGTTTCTTTAAGGGATGCCCGCTCATGTGTTGTTCCAATCACCTTTAACCAAGGCTGGAGTTTATAAGGAGCCAGCCTGCCTCTTAAGCATCTGTGTAAGGGGCCTTTGCTTTCTTAGGCATAGTGCAGGCACACTGAAGTCATGCATCCAGCTTCCTGCAGATGCTGATAGGGATCAGCCCCAGCTCTCTGAGGTCTCCCAGTGGGGTCTGGCTGTTGCCCATCAGCAAGACCCCAGTGTGGGACCAGGACTGAGCTCTGCTCTCTGGAGGTCCCAGTTGGCATGCAGTCCAAGGGATCTGATGAAGCATTTTTTTGCAGGGACAGAGGTGGCAGCTGCTCCTCTGGAGAGCAGCCGGTGTCCGCAGAGAGAAGCGGTTGCTCTAACTGCCAGACCAGAGCATGCAGGAAATGCAGCAGCTTCAGAGCCTGAAGTCACCCCCTGGGCTGCACCCGCGTCACAGATGCGGCACACAGATGGGGTGGCTGGGGGAGTGTGCACATATCTGGCACATGGTAGCTGTGCAAATCTGGGGAGGGTGCACACATTTGCATGGGGAGTTGTGTGCACATCTCTGTGCTCATGGGCATTTGTGTGTGCTTGTGTGTGAGTGTGCATGGCCAGGCCAGGGAAGCTTGGTCTGGGGAAAAAAATTGGACATCCCTCCCCGAGTTTGGATGCACTTGTGAGCAGAAACCATGGGGGAAGGGGCTGTCAGGAGAATTCTCCATCACTCATAGCATGATGCAGGTAGGAATGAGGTGGGCAGACCCAATCTTATGCCCTGTCCACTCTGGCCTTTCAGGAATCATTCCCAGTGATGGCACATCCTCAGAGCACTGAAGAGTCAGGTTCAGGTGCTATTGAATTTTATAGGCCCTTGTTCTCCTCCCGCTTGCAGTACCGTAAGTCTCAGTTTTCCCAAAATGGGATGCTGAGGACCAGGGAAGGGCTGAAGACCCGGTACCTCTGCGGTCCAAGAGGCAGGGTGGAAAATATGAAGCAGGGGCCATGCTCTCGCTGGTGTCACATCTGACAGGAAAGCCAAAAGCCAAACTGCTGACTGAGCTCCTGCTTCTCGCCTGCTTCAGCTGCGTCCTGCCTTGGCTTTCCGGGTGAGCCGAGCCCGTCCGGCTACAGCATGTCTCTGATGGGGCAAGGAGCTGGGCTGTGGCTTGCAAAAAGCCCTGATGAGCTGAGCTGTGCATTGGTGTGACTGACTGCTGTGGGAGTTAAGACTCCTGGGAGCCTTCGGTGGCACTGGGGACCAAGGATCCACCAGATCCACTGCCCTGCTCTGAGAAAGGGTGAAAGACATCCCAGATGGATGTTCATCCCATCTGGTCCCGCCTGGAGGTTTCTCAGGGACTTTCCAGCCCCCACAGGGGACAAACTGTGGTACCTAGTTTGCCTTACCCCTTTTTCCAGCTCCTGGGCTGGCTCCCACAAGGCTGCACTGGTTTTACTGGGGGTAAGGGAAAAAGAAACCTGCTGACAGTGCCACCAAAGCATGAAATGCAAGTGACTCCTCTCTGGTTCCACTGGCTTTCACGGTCTCCTGTCAGGTCTCTGCTGCCTCCAAAGCCAAACCTCCTTACTAGGGTTTTCTTCCCTCTCAAGCAGTTGTTGCTTCTTTCTGTTCTGGCTCCTGGCAGGCAGCATATCCCCGGCATCACTTACAAGAGGGAAAATGGAAGTTTGGAGCCAGAAAGTTGTACCAAGCGCCTTGCCATGGTGGCAGACAGGTCCCTGGCATGGCAGGGATGCTTGGCCCCAGCTGGGTGACCATCCTGAGACCAGTGTGGCAAGGGGGTCTTGGTTTGCAGCTGCACCTAGGGGCCAGCCCAGAAAGGAGTGAGAGAAAAAAGAACAGCTTCTTCTCTAAATTATTAAGAGCAGCTTCGTGGAAGAACGGCTTGCATATTGCACAGAGAGGCCCAGGAACCACAACAGACGCCACTGCCTCCCGGCTCTCGCCTGCGCGCTGCCAGGAGCCGTTATTTGCCTGCCCACGCACTTGCCATCACGAGTCAACAAACTCCCCGGACGTGAAACCCTTTATTCACCCCTAAGGGCCAGATCTGTCTCCCACCTGCAGAGGGAAGGATGCAGGGGTAGAATTCCCCTCTTGAAGAAGAGGAAAGTGTGCAGAGAGAAAACCAGCCACCAGCTTCCCAGAGGTTTCTTTAAATAGCAGTACACAAGGCAGTCTCTGTGCTGGGCAAGGAGAAGCCCTCAGTCCCGGGTTCCCACTAGCAGCATCTCCCTGGATCCACACCAGCTCTGGCGTCCGATGTTTCCCCCCACAGTCGTGCTTTGCCGGTTGGGTCAGACCTGGGCAAGGGATGCAGTGTGGCCGCTCCAGAGAGCCCTGGGTGGCATGAAAACTGAGGTATGATGTAAATCACCTTTGGCACAGGCCTGTTGGCATCGCTGCCCTGCTCCAGCCCAGCCTCCCTGCCATGAGTGAAGAGTCAGTGCATGGAGCCCAGCAGGGACCCTTCTCATCCCATGCTACCCACCCCACAGCTACAATCCCACTGTGGTCAGGTCTGTCCAATTACCAACTCCATCAGTGGTGCCTCTGTCGCTCCAATTCTTGTACGCTGGATTTTTCCCAACTGAAAAATGCAGTGGGAGCAAGGGGCCAGGGCAGCCTGTCTCTGTCTGCAACCCCCGGCTGAGAAGGGACCCCAGCCCTCAGCAGGGCTGCAATTGCAGCTGCTGAGTCTTCTCGTTCTGGTGTTTCTTCCCCCGCTCCGGTGTGACGGGCTTCTCCTCTGGGAAGATGATGGTGGCATATTCAGTCTGGTCGACTGGCTGGGTCTCAGGGGGCACCTGGGTGCGCTGGTCCCACTGAAACTCCAGCACACCATAGTCCACAGTAGACATGAACACCTCAGGGGGCTTCTCTTCTTTCTGCAAGGAAACCCCATCAGAGTGATTCATCTTCCATCCAAAGGCACCCACCATCCCCACATCAAGCTCTCTTTCACAGCAAGTGCCAAAACCAGCTCTGAAGCATCCCAGGAGGGCAAGAGCAACACAAATCAGAAGGATGTACAGACCCAGGGCATCATTTGCCCAGAGAAATAAGGCCTTGGGGTCACCACTGAGGCTGAGCTCTCTGCCCCTGCAGGCAGGTGGGGCTCCCTTCCTGCCCAGCCATTGACGGCAGGGTCATGCTAGGAGCCCTTTTCCCACCTCTCCATCGGGCTCTGGCACAAAGTGCATGAGGAGAGCCTGAGACTGAGCGTGGTCCGCCTGTAGAAGGGAGAGCAAGGAGGACCTACTCACTGCCTTCAGCTATCTAATGGGGTTGGAGAGAAGGTGGAGCCAGAATTCTCCCCTCAGTAGAAAAAAAGAGGAAAAAGGGACTTGCTGCAGCAAGAGAAATTTTAGCTTAATATATTGAGGGCAGGGGGAAACATTTTCTCCCATTTTCTATAGCAACACAATCCACTGTTAAAGATAGCCCCGTTTTGAGCAAGGCTTGGACTACAGAAATCCCATCCTATCTCAGGCAGTTTTTTGCTTGTGATGGGGCTGTGCTGCAGGTGCAAAAAAGCAGTTGTAGCTGTGCAGAAAAGGTCAAGCAAGCACTAGAGAAGACAGGAGAAGTGAGAAGCCTGTGAAGAGCTGATAAAGGCAGGCCCTGCACCCCCCGCACCTCAGCAATGCCGCCATGCTCCCCTGCAGCACGGCAGGGCACCAGAGATGGAAAACTCACCGCTGGCGCTTTTTCACTCGGTGGTTTCTGCACATCTGCAAACGAAAATGCTTGGTTAGAAGATGCTTGTGCACCAAGACAGTGTGAGCGTCTGGGGCTGACCCAGCCCCCATGTCCTAGGAGAGCACTGGACACCACAACCTTTGCACCACGCTTCATCCTTCTCCACTCTTGGTCTTACACCCGGAGCATTACAAGGACGAGTAAGATACCAGCTCACGGTTGAGGGTTTAATTGGGATTAGTGGGGTGCAATTTCTCAGGACTCCCCTCTGGGAGAGCCCCCCCGGGTGCCTGTGGCATGGCTGAGGTGATGCCTGGTGCTGCAGCAAAGAGATGATGATGTGTCCTGAAAATGCCTGGGCAAGATGCATGAGAGGGACTCACATGCAGCATTAAGACACCACGTTAACAAGTGGTTCAGAGCCACAGCACATGGCCTGGAGGCTCTGCAAAAGGCGAGCATGGCCCAAAGCACCCTTCTCTCCTAGGCATAGAGATACCCATCCCATGGGAACATGCCACAGCTGAGTTTAGCACGTTGAACCTGGCCGTGTACCCCAGGGAGCTTCAGGTATCCGGCTTCTCCGAGTTCAAACTGGGTTTGTAGAATAAGCATCACACCATCAGGCAGACCCCAGCCCTTGGCACAGCACAGCCCCCACGGGGGATCATACCTCCTCTCTTGTATGTGATGGTGAGGTAGCCAAAGATCAGCAGCAAAACTGCCCCAGCCAGCAGCAGGATGCCCAGGAGCACAGCCTTGATGTGGTCCAGGGGATTGTCTTCCTCTACCTCAGGCTCCTTGGTGGCATTTGTCTTCTCAGGGGCCGCTGTAATAGCCATGCAAAATAGGGGGAACAAAGGAGCAAGTCAGGAGTCTAAAATGGCCTCCGTAATCCCTGGGAAAGTCAGCAGGGGTACAGGGGGCTATGCCCAGAAAGGGCTCAGTCCCAGGCAGGCTGCCACATCCCCAACATCCCTCCAGGGGCCCTGAATTTGGGCTGACATGGGGGATGTTTTGACCATGTCCCATTCCTTCCCATTGCAGCTGGTGAGGATGATCCCACAGCACTGAGAGATGGGGTGCAAAGGGCCAGGGCACTTCAGTCCCATGGCATGACCCCATGCCCAGCAGAGCCCCATGGGGGACACAGCTTCCCCAAGCCTCCCAGCTGCTTCTGCATCCTGGGGCCAACACAGTTCATGCTGGGAGGAGATATTGAGAAAGACAGTAATTTTTTCAGTGCTTTGTCTTTTTCTTTTTATAAAAGGCCCCCAAAGCCTCCATGCTGCCAAGCAAGTGCATGGCATATCTTCCTGTGAGATCTCAGCCTCCCACACCATGGGACTGCGAGACCCTCCCAGGGCATGGTTTTGCAAGAACATCGGCTGTTCAAGCAGTCTGAGTCCTGGTTGTCACCCCAAACACAAGCCCTGTCTCCAAATAAAGGCACTGCTCAGGGTGCAGGCAGCTCCCTATGCTGGTCTGCCTCCATCCATGGGTAAGGACCTGCTCCTGCCCACAGCACTGCTGGGGATGCAGCCCCAGCAGGATGGAGACTTCCTGCCTCAGAGACAGATCCAGCCAGAGTGAGGATGGCGAGGTCAGCCTGTGTCCCTGGGCGTCAACCAGGCATGCAAAGGCGAGGGAAAAGGGCAAAGCTGTGCTCTCCTGTCCCATGCCAGGTCTCCCTCCAGTGGGGTATCACCTGCCTTGTGCCCTGGGGCTGCAGTGTGCCCGGGGGCTGTAGCACCACAGGATGACACTGAGGACCTGTCCCCATCAGCTCAGCCCCCAGGCTGACCTGTGACCACCAGCTGGGACCGGTTGCTCTCCATCACTTTGTTGGGTTCAAAGAAGGTAATCAGCCCACAGTAGTAGGAGCCCGAGTCGTTCTGGTGAAGGTTCATGATCCTGATCTTGAAGGCAGGAGTGTGGTTGGTGAGCAGGTACTTCTCTGTCTTCGTCTGGGAGTTGTTCCGGCTGATCTCAGCGATTTTTTGGGCTTGGCTGTGGTTGGTCTCCTTGTACCAATTGAGACTGTACTCTGAGCCTGAGTTGTGCTCCATGGAGATGTTGCAGAAGAAGGTGGCTGAGCTGCCGGCAGGGAGAGTTAACACGTCTGGGAAGAAGGTCACTGTTTGGGAGAGAAGAAAGAAGGAACAGACATGGTTACAGCAGCCACAGGTCTCAGACACAGCCAAGTCCGCCATGCAGAAACCAGGGATGCAAAGAGGGTGAGAGCCTGCCACCGCCTTCACTACCGCCCCATCCCATGGAGAGGTGATGGGCTCCTACATCCCAAACCCAGAGGCTCCACGTGTTCCTCAGCTGTTTCACCCTCAGCTCCTGAAGCTACAGGTTTTTACAACAACCTGTCAGCGAGCGCTTGTGTTGCCAGCCCACGGGCAGCCAGGCTCCAGGGTTTGCCAGCAATGCCTGATGCTTGGCCAGTCCACAGCATCCCCCTGGATCACAGGGAGGTACATCAGCCCATGTCTGACTGTGTGCCTGCCAGCTGGAGGGGGATTCTCACTGTACCGTGAAGTGGTTTCAGCAGAGTAAACTGTGCTCTGGGCTACCTAAAATTAACCCAGAACACCTGCACTGGGGAAAACAGACTTTGGGGGTTGTATTATTTTTAAATCTATGCTGTAGTTTAATGTCTGAGTCATCCTTCCACCAGCTGATGTTGTCTCTGAAAGCGAGCAGAGGGACCCAGTCCCGGGCTGGGGCAGCACCCCACGGTGCAGCGCATTGCATGCCTGCCTGCCTGCTGGGGTGCTCCAGCTCTGCCCACTGCTCCATACCGGGAGCACAGAGCAGGCAGGGGCTGCCCAGGGCATGGTATTTGCCATCTCCAGCCTGAGACTACGTGACAGGGCACAGTGACCTGGAGCTTACAATGCTGTCCCGTTCCAGCTGCTCATCCCCTCCTTAGGTGTTCGCGGGTAACCAGGCACCCAACCCCAGAGGGTCTCAGCTAGGCTTGCCAGGCTGCTCCCAGCACAGAGGGCAGTCGGCCACAGCCACAGCCCCCAGCCCTTAGCACTACCCCTGCTGCTTCACCACATTTTCCTGCCCATGATCCCAGTGGGTTCATCACCCCCAGGCAGCGGGTATGCTGCGAACACCAGCCAGGATCACAACACCCCAACTCAGCCAGCCCCATCCAGCAGGACAAGGCAGCTGCTGCATTAGATTTTGTCCAGAGCAGTAAAAAGCAGGAAGAAGCATTTTTCACACAGGTTTAAGTATTTTCACACAGGTTCAAGTGTTTTCACACAACCAAGCGATTCAAACTGCCAGTGCTTTGAAAATTCCCTGCTGTTAAGTAATCTATCTTCCCTTTTCAGATAGCAGCCCCAGGGCTTGCAGAAGGAGTTGCAAGTCCCTCCTGTACCTCCAACACTGGCGTGAGCCCGCAAGACCATAACGTCAGCATCACCAAAAAGGAACCAGGATGATTCCTTGAATAGATACAGGATTCAGTGGAAAAGAGGGCTGAACAGGGATGAGCTCAAACAGGAGGAGGGAAGGAGGGAAGTGCCCTGGCTCCCATGGGCAGTGCTGGCTGCAGCAGTGTCTGAACCGAGAGATGTAATTTTTGCAATGTTCTGGGTTTCTTGTGTTTAAGAGGAAATATTAGGCAGGCTCAGGGCTTTGCTTCCTACCCAGTGCTGCTGACAGCAATGAATGGAGCACTCAGAGGACTTCTGAAAGCAGAGGTTGGGTTTGCATGTTTCCTTGCGTCTTCCTAGCACCAGAGGTAACCCTTGTTCCAAGGGATGCCCAGCCCTGCACCCGCCCTCAGGGAAGAAAACATCCAAAGCCACCAAGGAAAGAGCCAGGCTGGAAGGAAGGGGAAGACACAGCTTCATCAAGGCTCTTGCAAACCCTGCCTGGGCTCACCCCTTTCCCTCCACCTCCCTTCTCTCCCCAGATTTCACCCTGAGCAAGGCTACATGCAGGACCCTGGCTCCCTTAGGGTCAAGCCCAAACCAGGAGGCAGAGCCCAAGGGCTCAGCCCAAAGCCGTGAAAGTCAGAGCAGAAAACCCTAGACCTTGCATGGCACTTGCAAATCCAGGCTTTCAACCACACGTTCAACAACACCAAACCCCGACCACGGCCAGCGTACCCACAGCACAGCTTCGGTACCGGCACCACGGGCTGGGGATCTGTCTCCTTCCCCATCCTTCAACCCTGTTTCTACCCTGAGCATCCCCATTTCCCTTGCTTCAGCGGCATGTACCCAAAAGCTGTGGATTTTCTGCTTTCTTGATGCCAGAGCTATTTTTAACTACAAAGCTCCCAGCCCTTAGACATCTTCCACCGGCTGCGAATGACATGGGCCCTGCCGGTGAGCATGCCATGCTCTGGTACCTACCCTGGCGACAGCCGGCCAGCATGGGGCTGCAGCAGAGCAGGACAGCACAGAGGCCAGTCAGGGCCACCTCCACGCTGCCCCACGTCGTCTTCGAGGCACCTGGAGCCATGACGAGCCAGTCGGTCTCCTTCCCGGGCAAGCGTGCCGTGGTGTGGTGTGCTGTACCGTGGCGTGCTGTACCGTGGTGTGCTGTACCGTGACGTGCCACCCCTGGCTCTCTCTGTGCTTCCTTCCTCTTCGGCTTCTTCTCCGGCATGCGTGGCAGGGGCTGGGGTGGAAATGAAACGTGCCCATCTCTGCCTCAGAGGGAAACCCGGGCTGCCTCCCGCCCCCAGCTTCCTCCCCACAGCGGCAGGGATCAGCTGAGCTGGGCCTGGCCCCTTCCCCTCCTTGCATGCTCCCGGCATGCTCCCACGCAAGCCCCCAGTCGCTGAGCAGCGGGGACAGGCACCTCTGAACCCACACCCACATGTGAAAAGCTCCTGGGGATGGAGTAGGCAGGGACCACAGGGGACATGTCCTCAGTTCCAAGCCTGGTCCATGAGTAAAAGGGCTGTCTCAGGCTCCTGAGCACCCATGGGTGCTCCTGCTGGGTGCCCATGGCAGTGGGGTGTTGGGGGACATGTGGCACTGGATAGCTGGACAAGGTCTGAGCAGCCATGTGGCATCTATCAGCAGGCTGCTCCCAGAGGGAAAGGATGAGAGAAGAGGGAGAAGAGGGAGAAGGAGAAGGAGAAGGAGAAGGAGAAGGAGAAGGAGAAGGAGAAGGAGAAGGAGAAGGAGAAGGAGAAGGAGAAATTTCACCTCCTCACATGTGTTTCTGCACAGACAGATCTGCAGAGAGCAGGGGCAGGTCCCTGGGGCCAGGTTGCTGTTATTGGGGTGACCTTTGCAGCAGAGTTCTTTAATTTCTGTGCAGGCAATATTCCCTGCTCGCTTCGCTGACTAATACTCGTATAGGAAATAACCAGCGGTGAAAACACGTCGTAGCTGGCTCCTCCGCTTCTCTTGAACACAGCGTTGGTACACCTCAATTTTGGAAAGCATCAGGGGAAAATTAATAATTAGGGTGAAGGATGCGATTTTCATGATGATTTCATCATTTTCCGGGCTTTCAGGAACGAGTTGCGGGGCTGGGGCTGGCTCACCACTCACTTTCAGATGTGGGCGTAACAGGCAAGCGGGCGGGGGGAGCCCCCCCTAATTCAGGATGGCCAAGGAGGGAGTTCGGAGCAGGGGCACGCATCCGGGTTTATGGCTCGATCCAGCCTGTCCTGGATCCTCTTTTCCAGTCTCCTACTGTCATTGCGTCTTGTGAGCTTTTGGTCCTGCATGGGCTGCAGAGCAAGCCCGGGGGGCTGTCCCCTCCTTGTCACCTGGCCGGAGGCCACTGCACTGCCTGCAAGGCAGCAAGTGTGCAGTGGTACAGGTGGGCTTTGAGGTGGACATCACCTCTTCCTTCACCATTTCCTGCATTTCCATCAAAAAAAACCAACCAACCAACCAAACAACCAAACAACCTCTAAACTAAACTGAACTCCTGAAAAGATGGAAGGTCACAGCAAGCCTTTTTCTCCTCAAGGCTTTGTGTCTCCAAATGGTGACACCAGGCATCTGGGCTGGGTGTAGGGTGGCTATGTTTGGCACTTGCAACATGTTTTGGTTTCTAGAGGCGGAAGATGTGACAAGTATCACCGCTGAGATCGCGACTCACTGAGCCAGGGATCAGCAGGCAAAACTGGCTCATCCTCCCCCTGCCCTGTGCGGCAGCAGAGGGCTCTGATTAAAATCGCAGCACAAATTGCTCAAACTTTCCAACGCACGCTTGAAATGGGGCACAAATTGGCACCTGGGTGGGGAGAGGCTGCTGCATCCATTAGAAACCAGAACTGGGTAGATGCAGACTGTACGACAATGTTTTAGGAGGCTGAAGGTCCTCTGGAAACCCATGCCCCAGTGCTTCCCGTAACTCCCCATCATGCTGGGGACCAGCACCGACACTGGAGCCTTCCCAGGCCGCTTGAGATGCAGGATGAGGCCGTGTGTGGCCAGGAAGTGCTGGGGAGCTTGCAGAACCACAGGGCACACAGCAGAAACCGCAGGGAGCGCTCTGGCAGCATGCTGATGGAAAGCTTGCTCCACCACCAGAGAGAGAAAAAGGGTTTTTTCCCCTTTTTGCTAAAAAAAAAAAAAATAAAAAGGATGAAAAGAATAAAAGAAAAGATCGATCTTGCTGCTAGGAAGATGCTGCGGGGGAAAGTGAGGCGAGCAGAGGTGCTGTGCCCCAGCACCCTGCCTGCACCCCACCTGCGCCCTGCCAGACCAACACAGCTCCCACTGGCTCTTGCAGCAGCTTCTCCAGCAACAAGGAAAACAGCTCCATCCATTCTGCAGCTCCCCATTCGTGCTGGCAAATCCCCTCCAGTCCAAACAGGGTGCATGGCACATCTTGGGGTTAGCTGAGGTGGGCCTGGAAAAGGCCCGTTGATGCTTAAAAAATCATTCTCTTTCTCTGAGCTGCAATATGGCAAATTTTATGGGACAGTCCTCTTCTATTTGGCCACCAAAAGAGAAAAAGGGTTAAAAATTAAGGAGAAGAGGAATAACTGAGAAAACGGTTTGTTCTTCAAAACTAAGAGACAAGAACTTCAGCAAGCACACGTCACACCACTTCACTGAAGCACAAACATCTCTTTTTTTCCCCAACGAGAAGCTGACCCAATGCGTGTGTCAGCAAGGGTCCCACTTACGCTGGCATCCAGATGAGGCCCCAGTCTCCTGCTGCCATCACTGTCAGGGCACAGTCACCTCAAAGGATGAAGGGTCAGTCCCAAAATGGTTTAAAAGCACCTGGGGCATTTAAGGAGCACTGAAAATGTGGAAGATGAAGAAGCAAGCAATGACCAAACACCTCAGATGGAGCCAACTGAAGTTCAGAGCTGAAAGTCCTTGAAGTCAAGGGACAGCAAAGCTTCCTAAATGAGATGGGGAACACAAGTTACCACAAAAAGGTGCTGAGGCAGCAAAACCCACAGGGTCCCAAAGATCCCGACCCCATTGGTTTAACTGTATTCACATCTGTGGGTCTGACCCAGGCAGGAGGTGAGCAGCTGGGGCAAGAAGAGGAAATGGTTGATGGTGTTTGCAAATAAACACGGAAAGCATCAAAGTCTTTCAGACACTTCCCAGAAATTAGGAGGGCCCCTGCAAACAATTTGCATGAGCAGCAACGCCTGACCCTTCGGGGAAAGGCAGCAGCCCCAGGGGCTGAGTAAGCAGCGAGTAAACAGAGGGGTGGAGCGGAGGCATGAAACTGCTCCTTTAGCGAGTGGAAATCTGCAGGGCCTGGGCAGGGCAATGGTAACTGTGATGTAAAGGTGCCATGTGGGTATGGCATGGGGCCACTGCCACCTTTGGCGTGGCAGTGGGGTGCCGTTCCTGTCAGCAGGCAGAGCTGATGCCTGGCCCTGTGGTACTAAGGGGTCTGATGGACCATCTCTAGTGAGCGTGGTAACCAGGCGCAACCACTGCTGCTCAGGGTCTCAGCACCCTGCCAGTGCTCAGAGTAGCTTGGGGCAGGATCAGGTGCCCGTTGGGATGTATCTGTACATCCCAAGCAAAACTCGCAGCAGAGGCACCTCCTGCCTCCTGGTGTAATCTCACACCTTCCCACACCCAAGGGACACCCAAGGCAGTACCCTGCCCACAAAGCCTTAGTGCTGGGTGCTCCCCAGCCATGCTGTGCATGATGGCCCCCTCCAGCCCCTCGTCACCAGCAGCAGCATGTTCCACCCCAGCACCAGCTGCGCCTTCACGCTGTTTCCATTTGAAGCTGGGTGAAGCGCCCGGGGACCTTTCTCAGCAGCGTCACTGGCTGCACGTAGGAAGCGCGGATGTTGGAGATTGCTGCATCAAGATAAACAGCAGAGGAAGCAGGATGTCAGCTTCTCAGAAGGGGGCTGTGTCATACACGAGCCATTGCCTTCCTTGGGACAGACAGCAGGAGCTGCGGACAGGGAAAAGAGCACAAGTGTCTGATGGGAGTGAGGATATTGGGGAGCAATAATTTTAGGCCTTTCTGGAAGGCTTAAGAAGTTCCTGGAGGAAAAGCCATGAGCAAGGCTGGAATCCCCATATTGATGGTTGGAATCATAGAATCACAGAATGGTTTGGGTTGGAAGGGACCTTAAAGACCATCCAGTTCCAACCCCCCTGCCATGGGCAGGGACACCTTCCACTAGACCAGGTTGCTCAAAGTCTCATCCAGCCTGGCCTTTAACACTTGCAGGGATGTGGCATCCATAACTTCTCTGGCCAAACTGTCCAGCGCCTCACCACTCTCTCTAGGAAGAATTTCTTCCTGATGTCCAATCTAAACCTCTCCACTTTCAATTTAAACCCCTCACCCTTTGTTCTGTCACTACAGGCCCTTGTAAAAAGTCCCACACACACTGTCTTGTAGCCCCTTCAGGCACTGGAAGGCTGCAATAAGGTCTCCCAGGAGCCTTCTCTTCTCCAGGCTGAACAAGCCCAGTTCTCTCAGCCTGTCCCCATAGGAGAGTGGACTTCATAGAATGTGTGGCCCAGAGGCAGGAAGAGCACAGGGTCTTGCAGCAACACACAGACAGGAACTGGGGAAATAGGGCTTTGTAATGGTGACCATTT